AGCTAGGACATGGCATCTGGGTATCTGGGTATGCCATTTACTTGAATCGCAAACAAGATGCACTAGACTGTCGTAGTGCTAAAGCTTCCCTACCATGGCAGAGAGTTCACAGTGAATGAAACTGTTTGCATCTAAAAGAGCTTGAGCCTCAGCAGTGGCTCTCTAACTGTAGCAGGCTAACCACTTGCAACAGAACAAATCACCCTTGAGAAATTATTAAAGGTGTGGATTCCTACACATCCATAGAACATTTTAACAGGCCCTCACCAAGGACCTTCGATACAAAGCTGGAAAACTCCTGTAATTCTTGACAAAGTTAAGGGCGTCACAGAATCCTCTTCTGGAAAGGCTGAAATGGATTTCAACTGCAGCTTTTGTTGTCCATGGTTAGATGATGCAGGTTATTCACAGGAATGTCCATCACTGAGACTTTTCCCTTTTCATCTTAACAGTTGAGTATAGTATCTTTTAATTGTATGAAAATGTTGAGACTAACATAGTGCTTATAATACCACCAACCTTAGCAGACCATTAATATCATGAATGCATTTTCATCTGCAAGTTGGGCATCCCTAATTTGAAATTGAACATGTTATAAATCTAACTTTATAGTGCCACTACAATGTCCTAAATGGACAATTCCACACCTGACCTTACATGACATATACTGGTTAATACAGTTACACTAAAAATAGTACATACAATTACAGTCATCCTATTGTGTAATGTACATCTGAAACATAAATGCCTTCTGTGTTTTGATGTGGATCTCATTTTGGATATGCAAATATTTTCCCCAAATTAGGACAGTCAAAATACTTCTGAGCCCCATTGTTTCAGAGAGTCAGTCTGCAGTTCTTTCTCTTCACATACAAGTATTTTGGGTGTGTATTTCTAAATCCAGTTTTGTAACATTTCTGTGGCAGCATTTCCCTGTAACTTCAAAAGTATCACCATGCAATGACAGCATAGTGTTTATATAATCATACACTAATTCATTTGCCATACCCTCATTATTAAGAATTGTTTTCTATGTCCGCTTTTTTCATTATAATCAATGCTAAAACAACTACCTTTACCTTCCTCTTACTATTTCCTAGAAAGGGTCTCTAACAAAAAAAGAAAATGACTAAGTCACAGGGGATGAGTACTTGGTACAGTGGTACAGTGCCAACTTGTTCCCTACCTCATTTGGACATTGGTGATGATGATGAAAACAACCTACAAACACCTGCCTATCTGAGAGGCAAGAATGTAGGTACAGCATGTCAGCGCTAGATGAGACCATGAAGCCAAGATGAAAGGTAGGACACATCAGAATGAACTATTACCACCTCACCTGGTATGTTTAGAATTCACAATTGTTGGGGAAGTCTTATGTTAATAAAGCACTGTCTGGCCAATAGGAATCTAGATAGGTGGGGCTAGGAATCCAGGAGGATTCTGGGAAGGAGAAACACAAGAGAGTCAACATGTAACGCCATGCGGGTAGGAAGCCTGGAACTATTCTCCGTATAAGGATATGTTACTCGGAAATGGAGTTTTAATTTATGTTTCCACAGAACATAAAAAGCTGAGGATTTCTTCCAGGCTTCTGTGGTTTGACGAACCAAGACCCCCGGAAGCAGTGGACAAGGTGTTCCAACAATTGACACAGTTAAGATGATGCAGCTTTACAGACCCCGAAAATATGGACTTATACAGGTTTCTGAGTTTTGTCATGATTCCCATGGTATAAACAGCGCCCCCTTCCAGCAGGAAGCAGTTTGGAATGAGCGACGTCCCAATTCCCATCTTGTTTATAAATCTTTGTTTTCATTTAAATGGGATTGTTTATAATTGGCTAGTGATCACAGCCCATCTTTTTAATGGTAAAAAAGGGAATTATGGTATGGGTATTATTTTTCATTTGTTGATACAAATTCAAGGTCAATTTTGTGATGCTTATATTTCTCCTCTTGATTAAGTATTGTGCTTATACTGTTCTTTTAAAACATAATACATAATTGAATACAGACTATAGATAGTTACTTATAATAGAATTTATAGTTAGGTAAGTTAGGTTTTCTAGAGATATAGAGATGTATTTGAGATAGATAGTCTTCAAACCTTTCAAAGACCTTCAGAAAATGGCATTTAAAATGGTTTAGGGTTTTTCTTGACAATGAGAAATGCCTGCTCCTGGCAGCACCAATTATGTCTGAGAGGAAGATGGGCATCGAAGAAACGTGTTATGGAGTTTGCTTTCAACATGGCAAGATTAGCCATTTGGGCAAGAAACTGCTCTTGCCTAGACTGACTGTTGCTGTATAAACTGGACACGCAGGACCCACAGAAAAGTGACTGCTAAACTCAGTCTTACAGGGTTCCTGCTTCATGGAAGTGTCTACCAGACTTTCTACAGGACAGAGAAATGACTGACAGACTGCCAATGCAGATGGACAGTTTGAAATTTCCTGCTTTGCTGAGAAGTGTTCCAGACACATTGTGGCCTATGGGCTGAAGATGGATGCCCCAACGTTATAGAGGAACTTCGGGTGACTGTCCAGGCAGTAAGATGTCTCTGTCAAATCTAGTGTTTATATATTATCCTTCTGTGGTCTTTGATGAAGTTGAAGATAGTTATAATTATAGTTTTCCTTAGTTATGATAAAAGATAAGCTACATATAGGACTTTGGACTCACAAGGATGGGATGGATGATATTTTCTTTAGATCTTGCTAAATGTTAATAGACAAAATGTTGTAACTGTGTTCTTACTTGATAACTGTTCTGTCATATACAATTTGACTATGTTAAAGTTAAGACCTTTCTTTTTATTTAAACAGAAAAGAGGAGATGTTGGGGAAGTCTTATGTTAATAAAGCACTGTCTGGCCAATAGGAATCTAGATAGGTGGGGCTAGGAATCCAGAAGGATTCTGGGAAGGAGAAACACAAGAGAGTCGAGATGTAACGCCATTGGGGTAGGAAGCCCGGAAACCTCTCCAGTAAGAGACATATTTAGATTAACAATTATGGGGTAATTACTTAAGTCAGAGCTAGCCAGTAAGAAACAAGCAAGGCCAACAGCTTCATAATTAATATAGCCTCCTGTGTGTTTATTTGGGACTGATGCCGATCTAGAACCAGGCGGGTGGGAAGGCTTTTCTCAAAGAAAAAGGCTTCTCTTTACACACAATTAAAAAAGTCCTAGGAATATTAACCTACATACGGAAAACTTGACTACACGTACCCAAAATAAAGAGTATTTCTGATAATGGTTTATCCTTTACTGAAGGAAGTCAAATCTGTACAGCATTTATATTTGAAAACTCTATTTAATGCACCATGTTTTTAAGTAAGTGACTGTGACTACTAAATGCTACAAAATTCTAACTCATTCTACTATGCTTTCAAATAAAATATTTAATGATTTAGGAGTTAAAAAGCTCAGTAATTTCAGACTGTTTTGGGACAATGAAATAAAATGAAACACACATATATTTTAAGGTAAATATAAATGCAAATACACAAAGGAACTTCAATGCTCTGAATCAGTATAATAAAAATGTGAAAGGATGAAGAATTAGAAGATAATCTCATAAACAGTGTTAGAAATCTAAAACAAAGGAATACAACTAACTATTAAGATTATTTAAAAAATATTTACATTTATGTAACCTGGGGGAAGTATAATCTGCTCTGGCAGAAAGACTGTTACAAGTTCAACGCAAGTCTGGGGCACCTGGTGAGTTCCACACCAGCCTAGAATACAGTGAGATCTATTCTCCCACACATACCACCACCACCACCAAATAACAAGAACTAAACAAAAACAAAGGAAGAATAATCAATTGTATTATAAGAAATGCACAATGAATTAAAAACTTCCCATCTATTTGCAAACAAGTATTCGAGTTTCTTGTTTGCTTAATTTTTTTTTTTTCAAGACAGGGTTTCTCTGTGTAGCCCTGGCTGTCCTGGAACTCACTCTGTAGACCAGGCTGGACCCAAACTCAGAGATTCACCTGCTTCTGCCTCCTCAGTGCTGGGATTAAAGGCGTAAGCCATCACCACCTGGACTGCCAGCAAGTATTCTTAAATATTCTCATTCTTCAAGGGAGCATTTTCTCCCTTAAAAAAAATTAGAATCTGATAGGTTTTTTTTTTGTTTGTTTGTTTGTTTGTTTTTTTGGTTTTACGAGACAGGGTTTCTCTGTATTGTTTTGGAGGCTGTTGGTCCAGCCTGGCCTCGAACTCAGAGATCCGCCTGCCTCTGCCTCCCGAGTGCTGGGATTAAAGGCGTGAGCCACCACCGCCCGGCTAAAATCTGACAGTTCTTAGCAATCTATTTAACACTCTGCTAACCTACTCCTTCACCCTAGGTCACTGAGGCTGTGTAACTCCTTTCACATTGCTCCTCATAGGTAACCAATAAGCAAGTAGACGATTCTGCCTCTGAAATGTATCCCCTCTCAAGCCACTATATTCTCACACGTCCCTGTGATGGATGAGTAGTTTCCCCCATGTGGCAGCAATCTACAGTGCCATGCCACCTCTCATTCCCATTCCCAATTTGAAGTGCTCCATTTCTTAACTGTGTTTGATGTTTTCCTGAATCAAGAACATTAACAACAGTGTTCTTTCATCTTATAACCAACAACAGTTTCCTTGAGGGCCCAGTCAAATGCTAGATGCAGTAAACTTAAATCTTTCTCTGGATCTCACAGCTCTCTGACAATGGTTTGGGACACTCCTCTTGTTTATTTCCCACAACACTGATTAGCAAGAAGCACTGGGCTTGACCACTATCTATCATAAAGCACATATACAAAATGAGTGTATATATGTTTTCATCTTTTCCCCTCAAACAAACTTTAATTTGATAGAGTCCCAGAACCTAGGGCTTTCGAAGTCAAACCCTTCAAACTAATACATGCCTTGAAAACTGACCATTTTCTTCCAATCATCTAACAACTGCTTTTTTTCTTTGTTGTTGTTGCTGTTGTCTCATTCAAGATCAAAGGAGTATACAAGCAGAGAATTCCAACAAGGATCCCTAAACCCAAATCTACAGGCATCAGTAGACTTCCCAGCAAAATAGCCCTGGGACCTATGGAGAAGCCTAGTCACCAAAAGGGTTGTGAGAAATTACACATCATAAGAACTGTTACCTCTAACACATTCCTCCACATAGAAGGGAAAAGGTAAGTCATACCTATGTATTGTCTGGGAAGTTTCATCTCCAGAAATACCTGGGGAGCTACAATCAATGAAAGCCAGAAGGAATGAAGAGCCATCTCTCCAGGAAATGGTGAAGCAGCAAACTGTCCCACGGCTCACAGGTGGATGGACCTGGGAAAGGGCGTGCTCAAAGGTGCAGCACTGTACAATCTCCTACTCTGACGGTATGAGCACATACACACACTCACTGGTTCACAACTGCAAACCACTCAGTTCCCAATGTCATCTGTAATCTAACTCAAAGCTGGGCTGTAGCAGCAGCTCAGGTCAAGACTGGATTCACTACAACAGTTTAAGAGCTGTTTACAAACACAGAAGTAATCTTTTATTCTTCAGAACTTTATCACATAATCACATGGGCTAAGACAATGGACTAGCAAGAATTCCTAACTTATTCATGAAAGTAAGATGATTTCCACCAATATGGCATAATTAAAATCAAACTAAAAATCAACATCTTTATGCCTATGAGAAAGTGAAGTAGTAATTCTTAGAGAGAAACAACAGAATTAGCATTAGCTGATTACATCCTTGATGTGGCCTGCCATCAATCATTGATATGTGCATGATGATTGCTAGCATTCAGCCTGCTCTCCCACATTTTTAGCAGATTTCCCCTCCTAAAGATGAAGCTATGGAGTCATTTTGATTTGCATATAAGTCTTTAGCAGTGAGGCTTTCTACAGTAATCACAGCATATGAGAATCAGTGGCCACTACTACTGAGATCTTAGAGAGAAATGTAAATCACTGTTTTGGCTACTCAAAAAAAGAATAATTTATCATTTCATAAGACATCTTTTTTCACATTCCCTTCCCTCAATCTCTCTCTCTCTCTCTCTCACACACACACCAAAAGAACAAGATTCAACAAATGTTTGGACCAGGAGAATGGCAATAATAGACTACTGCTTTCAGTCATCCACAGGTTACATATAGTGCCCTAGCAGTCACTGTTTTTATCTTTCAAGGTAGTGGCACTGAATAAAGAGAAAGGAGTGATTATAATTCAGTGTGGACACTGGCACAATGACATTTTTTTGTTTGTTTGTTTTTTGTTTTGTTTTTTGAAACGGTTTCTCTGTATTGTTTTTGTAGGCTGTCCTGGAACTCACTCTGTAGAACAGGCTGGCCTCGAACTCACAGAGATCTGCCTGCCTCTGCCTCCCGAGTGCTGGTATTAATGGTGTGTTCCACCAATGCCCAGCCACAATGACATTTTTAAGATGAGACATTTCTTTCTTTCTTTCTTTTTTCTTTTTTTTTTTTTTTTTTTTTTTTTTTTTGGTTTTTCGAGACAGGGTTTCTCTGTATTGTCTTGGAGGCTGGCCTGGAACTCACTTTGTAGACCAGGCTGGCCTCGAACTCACAGACATCCGCCTGCCTCTGCCTCCCGAGTGCTAGGATTAAAGGCGTGCTCTACCAACACCCGACAAGATGAGACTTTTTTTTTTAAAGATTTATTTACTTATTACATAGACAGTTTGTCTACATGCCAGAAGAGGGCATGCACCAGATTCAATTGTAGATGGTTGTGAGCCACCATGTGGTTGCTGGGAATTGAACTCAGGACCTCTGGAAGAGCAGTCAGTGCTCTTAATCACTGAACCCTGGAGGCATAGGCATGGATGAAGTCACCGAACCCTGGAGGCATAGGCATGGATGAAATCACCGAACCCTGGAGGCATAGGCATGGATGAAGTCACCGAACCCTGGAGGCATAGGCATGGATGAAGTCACCGAACCCTGGAGGCATAGGCATGGATGAAATCACCGAACCCTGGAGGCATAGGCATGGATGAAATCACCGAACCCTGGAGGCATAGGCATGGATGAAGGCCTCCTGGCTGAGGACTGCACTTCAGCTAGCTTTCTACAATGAGCCCAAAGCAGAAGCAAAGGAGCTGCCATCTCCCATACTCATATGGCTAATCTATTTCAAAGCATACACTAATGCCACTATAACACCCCAGGGACCACTTAATGAAGAGAGGGATGGGGGAAAAGAGAGGGAGGAATAAGAGTAGGAAGAGGGGGAGTTGGGCAGCACTGAGTTATGTAAAGCTAGAGAGGAATGGTGTACAGCATCAAACAAGTGGCACTGACTGTGGGGAGGACAAACGAGACTGAAACAAAAGTCAAAGTTAAAGAAAAGCCATGAGTAGAAACGAGATTATGAATGAAGATGAGGAAGCTCTGATGCCAAAAGCAAGACACATACTCAGGAACACAGCACACACACACACACACACACACACACACACACACACACACACGAAAAATAGGGAACAACTAGTTAAGCACACTGGTTGCTCTTCAGGATTCTTAGCACCCACATGGCATCTTACAATCATCTGTAATTATAGTTACAGGAGATTCTGACACCCTCTTCTGGTCTCCATGGGCACTGTACATGTGGTGAACAAACATATTTGTAGGCAAAACACACACATAAGAATAAAATAACATTGAAATTTTGAAGAGGAGAAAGAACATATACTATCAATAGCTTCAGAAAAACAAAGTGTCCAGGAAAGTTTACCTTGAAAAGGAATACAAAATATGTTTTATAATTGAAGGTTTTAACCTTTTTTTCTCCCACGCTGGGGCTCTCTCAAGTACATTTATGTCATGATGGCATAAATTCATGAGCAAGAAAAAAACACAAGATATTGCTCAAAGTACTAAAACAAAAGAAATCTAAAATTATGGACATTTCTTTGATTGTCACCAGTAATTCATCGTCAAACAGGAATCATGAAAGTGGGAGGAGGCTTGTTGGGAAGAATGTGTTTAACAGGAATGGAAGGGAGTGAAAAAGGAAATCAGGGTGGAAACCTATGGAAAATTGCTAGAATTATTTTAAACATCAAAAGGGAAATGTACTAAAATTCTAGAGTAACTGTGATTAAATCATAAGAAATAGATAAAAATCAAAGTGAATGAAAATAATGAAACTCCTAAAAACTGATAGTTTTATTTTTAAGAGTCTTTGTTGATTCAGCTTTGGTGAATCTAACTTTCTGAAATCATGTTAGCTAATTTTAATCAGAAGGAAACTGATCTAGTACCTAACAGAACTGTGGACTGAATACTCATAAAAACCAGTTTTCTCTGGGATATATTTCAAATTTCTTCCAGAGCAATATATAATCCCCTGAGTTAGGGATAGAAGCAGCAACTTCAAGTTGTGTAGGCTAAAATTCTATTATCTCGCATCATATGACAGGCAGACTAAGAATTGTAATAATTACAAATGTTGAAAGAAATCAAGAGTATTTTGTGACAAGAAAATTACATAAAACTTAAATTTCATTGTTTATTAAGTTTTATTAGATCATAGTTACACTCATTTTTTTACACACTTATTGTCTACTTTCACACTAAAATATCAAAGTTGAGTAGTTTAAAAATGATGATTGGATCACTAAATAAATAAATATACAAAAAGGAAGTTTGCTAACTACTGAACTAGTACAAAATAGACTAGCAAGGAAACCAGGATCAGATTTTTTTTTGTTTTTTTTGGTTTTTACGAGACAGGGTTTCTCTGTATTGCTTCGGAGGTTATCGGTCCAGCCCGGCCTCGAACTCACAGAGATCCGCCTGCCTCTGCCTCCCGAGTGCTGGGATTAAAGGCGTGCGCCACCACCGCCTGGCCAGGATCAGATATTTAACCACACCGTCATCACCTAATTTCTAAAAGTAACACTTGCAATTCAAGAACTCAATCTAGCTTTCTATGAAAGCTGGTGAAAACGAGAAAGCAACATTTCAAAATGTTCCTGAAGTGTTTAGAAAATGTATAACACCCAAGTATTCAATGACAGATGATTAGATCAAGAATAGGTCAAAGGGCAGAGTAGAACACACTATAATAGCAGCAATGGACAAGCTGAAGAAAAAAAAATGTCATAGTTCAAGGCAGAAGGATTTCCAATTCAAGGCCAACCTGGGCTAGACAGTAAGAACCTTTCTCAAAACAAAGCCAAAACCAACACAAAGCTTCTAAGGGTTTGTACTATAAAATAATGTTATGCATTACTGTTAAACATAAGAGAGGAAATGAAAGGTCTTCCACATTTATGAGGAGTCTTTTTCATGAAACTCAAGGATATGTACCAAAATTATATCAGGAAATGTATGTATGATTTGGAGAAAGATATATTTATCTGTACTTTCAATCTTTAATAAGCTGTTGTCAAGAATCATTCATTTTAATATTTGTAAGAATTGTGGGAATTTTATAATGTCTTCTAGGTTGATTGACTGTCTATCTAGTAGTTTTGAAATACAGAACATGACTAAAAATGTAGCCTTTTTTTTTCTTCCCTTCCGCTTATGTTTAAAAATTCATCCTGAATTTTGCCCTTAACCATTCTGTCATGTTATCTGTATCTTTATTAAGCACACCAATACATACATCCAATAGTGTAAACTGATAGTGCTCCTCCCCAGTCCTGTCAAAAATAGGGCTGACCTCAATAAACAATCTTGAAAATGTCGTGTTCTGAAGTTGGTTCTCTAAGTATTGCCAACATCTACAGAAAATATCCCAACCCTGAACCTTATAGCACTGACAATGTTTTACAATATGTACAATGCTTATACAGTCTAACTTTGTGAGGAAAAGGATAAATAACAAAACAAACAACAACTTTACCTATTCATTTAGAGATCCCGTGTTCCCCCACCAAGTCATTCCAGAAGAAATTTGGCATCAAGAAAGCAATACGATTTGAAGAATACTTGCAATGCTCATCTCGGCAATGACCAATGGATCACTGCATTCACTCTAGGTTACAGAAGCTGTCACCTGCATGAGTTACAGTCTCACAAAGCAAGAGTCTGTTTATTGTCCCCTTTACAACATAATTTATAACACTAAATTCAGGTAAACAAGGTAATGAGCACTTCCAATCCTAATATTCAGGAGGCCAAGGCAAGAGATTTCATATTTCAGGTCAGCTGTCTGGACTACATAGTAAAATCCTGGCTTAAAAAAATAATAAAATAAATTTAATGAAAGGTAACTAGACACTATTGTAAGGCACAGGATTTTAGCAAGTTTCCCATGCACTTGAGCATCTTAAGAGGTATAAGGTCTCCAGGCAAGATAGGGCTATAATATTCCTTAGTTTACTAATAAATATTGAATGAATGCCTTCTAGGAACAAGGTCACTACTCTAAGCCTCAAGGACAAAGCAAAGGATAGGAAAAAGCTAAGCTCTGTTCAAGGAGCTAACATCCAGTGCCAGGAGACAGTGATTTAACAAGACAAAGGACTTGCCAATCAGAAGAGCACCCACAGCACTGCTCCAGGCTAGCCAGGAGCTGCTGCTCAAGGAGACGATGTCTTAACTGAGTTCCTATGTTACTAAAATTAGAAGGACAGCTCAGCATGGATACTAAAAGGGCCTGAGACAAAAGGAATGGAGCATGTTGGGCAATAAAGGGAAGGCCAGTGTTGCTAAGCCACTGTAAACAGTGGGGACTAGCAGGTCATGGCCATGAGATTTACTATGGGCCGAGAAAGCTTTTGGAGATTTAGCCAAGTTTCTGATCTGACTTCTCTGGTAGCTGAGGAATAAATACCGTTGCTGGGACCTCTATTTTGAACTTATTGCAGTGGCTAATACAAATTAGAAAAACAGCATATTCGCCAGTGGGGAAAAACTCAGAAAGACTCAGGGTAACTTCTGGAGGGAGACACAACAGTATCTGGAGATGTGAGAAGTTAACAAATAAACACATCAACATTCTACCAAGCTTCTGTGAAACTGACAGGTTGTGGGAACTGAAATATGGAAGTGTGGAGACAAGCAAGGTTTATACCACTTACATTTGATATTCATACTAAATAACAAATACTTCAGAAGCCACCCAGCTGTTTGAGCTTTGATGTGATAGGTTGTTTATGATCTAATAAGGCTTACCTGGAGATCAGAATGCAAAGCTAGCCTCAGTCATAGAGGCCAGGCAAAGGTGGCACACACCTTTAATCCCAGGACTCAGGAGATCCAGACAGATGAATCTCTGTGAGTTCAAGGCCACCCAATGAAACATGGGAGTGAATCAGTCTAAAAGAGAAACAGAGCTCATGCCTTTAATCCCAACACTAGAGAAGTATATACGAAAGAAGCAGGGTCTCAGAGCTGGCATTTGGTCTTAGGAGATTAGTCTCCAGCCACATTGAGGACAGCCCTGGCAGAAGTAAGAGCTCTCTGGTGGCTTGGCTGCTTTGTTTTTCTGATCGTCAGCTTGAGCCCCACTATCTGTCTCTTGGTTTTTATTATTTGGGCTATAGAGCTTTGAGCATAAATCACATATGAGGATGACATCTCAATCACTGACCTGCCTGCTTTTAGCTCTGAATAAAATCAGACTGAGAGTCAACAGACACAGTTTGATAATGCGCATAAGGCATACAAATTGTGTACCTTTAAAAATCAATAACGGGTTGCCTACTTAGAGATGAGATTCTTACCTTTGATGAGAAGAATAATTATGAGAAATGTAAGTGCACAGACTGACTTCAGATCATCAGAGTATGAAAGAGCTAACTCCCTCAACAAGAGAATCCCAAGCTAAGCACTTAGTGTCTCAGTGCTTCTGTTTCCTCAGCATAAATAATGAAAACAGTAACTGTTTCTTGGTAGACTTGAGAAGATTAAACAATATGCTAGCATTCATAAAGTGATCACAGCAATACATGACAGAATAGGTAGGCTAGGACAAGAGAATTAAGAGTTTAAGGCTAGCCTGGGCTACATAAGGAAAGCTTATCTCAAAAAGAAAGAAAGAAAAAGGATATAGTAAGAGCTCAAGAAAGGAAAAGTGGCATTACTACCCACTGACTCCTGATATTTCTGAACATTACCATTTTCTTGTTACATGTATGGTTAGAGGCGTTATCAAATACTCAAAATGAGCTACTGAGTCATAGGAAAAAAACACTCCTCAAAAGGTATGAGACTGAGAGCTGTAGCTTATCAAGAACAACCTATTTTTATTCGCTTTTACTTTACATTTTGTAGCTTCTCAGTACTGTAGCTTGGTGCCAGCTCAGGCCTGGGATCCAGGCTGCCACTCTACACTGGACTGACACTCTACTTGACTTTTTCCCTTCAGTCACCAAATCCATGCTGTAACTCTCAGGTTCACACCGAGAAGTCTCCTATACTTGTCAACTGCATCGGTGTCTATCTATCATGCGATAGTTCTGAAGTCAAAATAAACAGAAATCTAACTTTGATACTGCCCTCAAAACTACAAAGAGGCAGACCTTGGAACCTTGGAGAGTGATTGGGACAGTAACAAAAACAGTAGTCACTGTCTTATGGAGCTTGAATTGTTGGAGGCCACTCTTGGGGAGTTACTTAATATAACTACTTTCCTTGAAAATAAAATGCCTATGCATGCAGAATGGGTGCACATGGGGCAGCATGATAAAAATTGTTAGAACTGTGTTAAATGCTTTGGGAAGCAGTTTGGTTTCTGACACCAACTAGCTAAGAGAACTTGCTAATGGACATCTTTAGGTCATATTCCTCATCTGTAAACAGTAGAGCTCAAAAAGGGGGATCTTTAAGCCCTTTATTGCTTCAAAATACGTATTACAAAGAACACATTACAATAATATTTTGGGATATACTACACGCCAAGCATTTTCATGAGCTTTGCAACTTCCAATCACCTTCATTTCATCTTCATAACAATTTGTGAACAGACCATTGTATTTTGGTTTCTACAGATGAGCAAAGGGGGAATGTGTCAGCGACATTAGGGTCTGTGATTTTAATTCCAACAGTCTGAACCAAACTGCCTCTTTGTACAAAAACGGCCTACGTGGTTCCAAGGAAAAAGTAAAGTAAAAGGAAAAAGAAGAGAAAGAAAAAGAGAGCTTGGGAAGGCACGCCTCCACCCTGGCAGACGACGAGGGTGTCCCTCTCGCTTCACGCGTGACAGGCTCTCCCACCCCTGTCCCCACGGCGCCTGCTGCTCCCTGGGCTCCGAACCCCTGCTCCGGGCGGACCAGCGCGACTGCCACACGCGGGCAGCAGGCTGAGGCGAGGGCGGGGGAGGAGGCAACCAGAGATGCGGGCGAGCCGAGCGGGTACCTGGGCTGCCGGCGGCGGCCGGCTGATTCTCCCACCACTCGTCTCCCAGATCGTCTGCCATCTCCTTGCGGCCGACGCGAGCTGACAACCGGGTGAAACGGTCCGGCTGCTGCGACCCGATCCGCCTCAGATACGGCGACAGCGACACTGCACGCGGAGGTACCACAGAGCGCCGTCTCCTGCGCCCGGTGGAGATGACGTCACACACGCCACGCCCTCCAGCTGCCGAAGCCAGGGGCGTCGCCGTTTCCACACGGGTTCGGGTGCTTAAGATCGATCGAGAAACAAAACCTAAATGCCCCAAACGGTAGAAACGAGCCAAGACACAGACACAAAAGTTGATCATCTGTTTCGGTTGCTTTAAAAAATATCTTTAGGGGTTTTGTTACGGGTTGTGGCGGAAAAGCCTGTGTCGAAAGTGCAAGAACTGATGCTAGGACGATTTTTTTCTCTGCTCAATTTCAAAGAATTTACGCCGCGGGAGAAGACCTGAGCACGTGGGTGTGTTTGCACTAGGTTGTCAGTGGCGGCCCCGAGCGTGTACAGTTTGCCCTGGGAGAGAAACCTGAGGGTTTCTGGCGATGGAAGTCAGGAATTACTTGTGCGTGTGCATGCTACTCCTTTGGACAGCTTAAGTAAAGAGAAGGTAATTGGTCAGGAAGGGCACGAAAGCTCTGGAGCCCTGAACATTATACTGCTCTATTTAAAATACTTAATCGGGCCGGGCATTGGTGGCGCACGCCTTTAATCCCAGCACTCGGGAGGCAGAAGCAGGCGGATCTCTGTGAGTTCGAGACCAGCCGGGACTACCAAGCGAGTTCCAGGACAACCTCCAAAGCCACAGAGAAACCCTGTCTCGGAAAAAAAAAAAAAAAAAAAAACTTAATCGGGTTTTTTATGTACTCGTTCTAGGTGTAGGAGTGGTACTGTATGTGTCCCACTGAGTACTATGGCTCCTGGGACAAGAACAGAACTTGGAGCCGGGCGTGGTGGCGCACGCCTTTTATCCCAGCACTAGGGAGGTAGAGGCAGAGGGATCTCTGTGAGTTCAAGACCAGCCTGGTCTACATAGTAAATTCCAGGACTGTCAGGGCTATGCAGAGAAACCCTCAAAGAAAGAAAGGGAGAGGGAGGGAAGAAGGAAGAGGAGGAGGAGAGAACTTGGTGCAGAGTTGATAATAGGACTATATGCAGTTTCCCTTTATTTTCTGCCTGACAACAGGTATCAGAGATCAAATGCAGCCATTCGATGTTTGTACCTGTGGTCGTAAGTGATTTTCATAGCAGAAAGCACTGGAGGAAAATCTACATGTCCATACTTCCTATTTACTATCTCCCTTTATAGAAAAAATTACAGACTATATATAGAGTAATCAATCTAAAGTGTATCTTCCATTTAATTATTTTGTTATCAGTACATTGATATCTGAGTTTATAAATTAGTCTGCCCTAAAACCCCAGATCCAGAACCTGATAATCTCAGGGAAGCTAAGGAGGAAGCAGCCACAGGGGCTTTACCCCCCTGTCTCTGTACCACTGGAGTCTAGGTATGCAGCATTCACTGCCCGGTGATTTGAGCTGGGAAACCTTCATAGAAGAGGGGGTGATTGAACTTTAGCTTATCCATGTATCTCAGTAGGCCAGTGTGGGTGTGATTAAAAAAAGGAAATCAGATCCTTGGTGGAAAAATTGGGCTGTTGTTTTGTATAAGTTGTCTAACCTTACTGGATTTGGTTTCATAAGAAAATAAATAGATGACCCCTGGGTAGTCTCCCAAGTTCCATGCCTAAGTCGTCAGTGTCATACAAAGAAGTGTGACCATAACTATTGCAGTTGAAGGACGTGATGGAATTATTGTTTGGGGGAGGCTGTGTCGATGTTACAGTTCAGAGCAGATAGCAGGTCTGAGCAGAGCTTCCCACGTGACACAGGTAAGATAGATTCCCTTAGTCTTTGGAACCAGCAGAGCCTCCTGTCCAGTTGCCATGGGCTGAAATAGCCTTTCCCCAGTCTTCGGTTTACTGTGGTACAAACAAATTTCCTATGGATGCCACTATGTGAAGAGATTGATGCCTGTTATTGTGAAAGAAAAGGGGTTGAGGCTGTTTGACAATGTTTTTTGATTGTTTTGTGTCAACTTGACACAAGCTACAGTCTTAAGAGAAGGGAACCTTGGTTGAGAAAATGCTCCTATAAGATTGGGCTGTAGCCGGGCGTTGGTGGCCCATGCCTTTAATCCCAGCACTCGGGAGGCAGAGGCAGGTGGATCTCTGTGAGTCTGAGACCAGCCTGGTCTACAAGAGCTAGTTCCAGGACAGCCTCCAAAGCCACAGAGAAACCCTGTCTCGAAAATCAAAAAGTAAAAAATAAAATAAATAAAAAGATTGGGCTGTAGGCAAGCCTTTAAAGCAGCTTCTTAATTGGAGATCTATTGGGAGGTTCAGCTCATTGTGGGTGGTGCCATCGCTGGGCTGGTTGTTCCAGGTTCTTGAAGAAAGCAGGCCGAGCCGGGCGTTGGTGGCGCACGCCTTTAATCCCAGCACTTGGGAGGTGGAGGCAGGCGGATCTCTGTGAGTTCGAGGCCAGCCTGGTCTACAGAGTGAGTTCCAGGACAGCCTCCAAAACAATACAGAGAAACCCTGTCTCGAAAAACCAAAAAAAAAAAAAAAAAAAAAAAAAAAAGGAAAGCAGGCCGAGTTATCCATGAGGAGCAAGCCAGTAAGCAGTACCCCTTTATGGCCTTCAGGTTCCTGCTGCATTTGAGTTCCTGTCCTGACTTCCTTTAATGACAAACAATCCCATGAAGAATAAGGCAAATAAACCTTTTCCTCCCCAAGTTGCTTTGTCATAGTATTTCATCCAGCAATTGAGAGGGACTCTGCTAGTGTTCAGGCAGGGAAACAAACTCAGGAAGAGATGAGAATTTAAACAAAAAACTGACTCAAAAGGAATGACTCTCAAGGACCATTTCATTAGAGTTTTTTGAGAAAAACAGCAGGGCAGGCAGTCTGTCAATCTTGATAGCTTCATTGAAGAGGGAGCTGGAGAACAGGAAGGGAGAAAGGAACAAACACCTTGAGCATCTCTTCAGACAATACAAAAGGTCCAGGGTGTCTAAGCAAACATGCTTAATATTGTGGCTTGTATCAAAAAAAATTATATAGGAGAGAAAAGGATAGTTATACCTTTTGAATTTAAGAATAAAACGTTTTTCATGGCTTCAGTTGCCCCTGAAGTCAGTGCAGATGCCTGGGGTCTGGGCTACCACCTAGGACCATGTAGGTATCCCAGGGCCACTCTCTTGCTGGGGCCATGCTGATCTGAGTGGCCTGCACTGCCATCTGGGGCCAAGGTGACATCCAGCTCCAGCTGCTGCCAAAAATCACGTCTGGGTCTCTGGTCCTATCACAGCTGAAGACTGTTGAACTCTGTAGATTGCTGCTACCAGGGGCCACATGGATGCCCCAGGGTCTGGATCAACCAGTGGTCTTGTTAGTTCTGAGGGTCATACCACTGCCAGAGCAATGCTTTGGGTGGCCTGTGCTTCCACCAGGGACTATGATGTCTTCCACGCCTGAGCTGCTGCTGAGAGCCATGTCTGGGTCCCTGCCCAACGTCAGCCAGGGGCTGAGTTGGTGTCTGTAGCTCCTGTTACCATCAGGGGTTGTGTGGATGCCTGGGGTCTGGTCCGCCATCTGAGACTATGATGGTATCTGAGAGCCATGCTGCTGGAGCCACACTGATTGGGTGGCCTGAGCTGCCGCAGGGGCCATGGCGACATCCTGGCCCAAGTTGTTGCCGAGGGACATTTCATGGTTGTGGTCCTACTGCAACTGGGGTCTGTGGCCTGTGTTATCACAGGGGCCATAAGAACCATGCATGATTAAATCAGAGAACCAGGGTGAGCCTGTGCTTCCCTAAGTTGGCCCTGTCCCTTGCTGGACACTGGAGCCAGAGAGCTGACCCTGATGACCCAGGCACAGAGAGCTGGCCCCATTCCTCACCATGGGTGTGGGAGAGTTTCCTCTGCCCTGCACCTGAGGAGAGCAGCCCAAGGGACCAGGTCTAACTAGCCCAACTACCACCCAAGCCCACATCCAGGGTCTTGGGTTGGCCCATCCTAACATCTACTCCATCTGTGACTTACTGGAACATGTGAAGAGATAGGTCCTGTGGGATAATACCCACATGCTCTTCATGACTCCAGGTGGCCATGAGATATCCAAAAGGAGTTTTGCTGAGGTCAAGTGATGACAGTGTACCAGAAACAAGAGGTCTTGAATCAGACTTAATGACTCATTGCAATAAACATTTGCAAGTAAAGTTGGTAGGACAAAAGGGTATGCTACATGACATACCATGGCTCCCAATGCCACTAAGACGAATGAAGAGGTGTTGGAGGGGCTGAAAATATGGAGGAACAAAGTGGTTTTTTATTTGTTTGTTTGTTTTGGTTTTAGTTACTTCGATTTCCTTTTGAGGTGGGATGGTGCAAGGGTGTTATGGTAGTTTGAATGTATTGGTTCCCATAACCTCATAAGGAGTGGCACTATTTGGAGATGTGACTTTGTTGGAGTGGGTGTGTCCTTGTTGGAAGAAGTGTGTCACTGCAAAGGAGGCTGACTTTGAGGTCTCTTTTGCTCAAGCTTTGCTCAGTGTGACACTCAGTCTACTTCCTGTCACCTGCATATCAACATGTAGCAGCTCCTTCTCCAGCCCCATGTCTGCCTGCATGCTGCCGGGCTCCCCACCATGATGATAATGGACTAAATCGAAACTGTAAGCCAACAGCTCAACTAAATGCTTTTTGTGTGTGTGTGTGTGTGTGTGTGTTTTTTTTGTTTTTTTTTTTTTTTGGTTTTACGAGACAGGGTTTCTCTGTATTGTTTTGGAGGCTGTCGGTCCAGCCCGGCCTTGAACTCACAGAGATCTGTCTGCCTATGCCTCCCGAGTGCTGGGATTAAAGGCGTGCACCACCACCGCCCGGCCCAATTAAATGTTTTACATTATACACGTCATGTCGTGATATCTCTTCACAGCAATAGAAACCCAAAGACAATTGCCACCATGATGAAACCTAGAATCACCTGGGAGATAGGTCTCTGGACATGCTTGTGGGATCTTACATTGATTAGTTTAAAAGAGGTTTTTGTGTGGTTTTTGAGATAGGATATCTCTGTATAGCTCTGGCTGTTC